ATGCAAGTCAAGACTGGGCAGCAAAGGCAGCATTATGGGCTCAGCAAAGAATGGCACAGGAACAGATGGCGCAGTACTACCAGCAGCAGCCACAGCCGCAGGCACCGCCACAGATGGACCACTATCAAGTACATCAACAACCTGGATATGGTGGTTTTCAACCAGCTCAGCAACAACCTCCAGTAACTGTCGACAATCAGCAGTTTCATCAAGAGGCTGAAGCACCACCCCTCCCTCCTGAGGAGGAGCCAGAACCACCACCACCAGGGTGGGCTGATGTGCATCATGCAGAAGGCAACCAAACAGCTGATAACATTGAAACAGTGGCTATGGATGACGAAGCTGGAGAAAGCAATGGCGCTGAGATTGAAGGAGAAAATAACAGAAGCCATTTTGAACATCAAGAAGAAAGGAAGCCTGCTATCACACAAGATTACAACCACCAGCCTGCAGCTCCTGTGCTTCCTGGGATGCAAACCTTTGATCATAACCATGGCTTCAATAGGCCCCCTCCACAGCAATTCAGCCATGTTGCTCCCCAGCCTATCGACTATGGGCATGGGCAGAGTGTTGATTACGGCCATCAAGGCCCTCTTGTTCCAGGTGCTCAGGTTTATGATTATCAACCTCAGTATGATAGTCATTATTATCATCAGCATCCTTATGAAATGGAACGGCATCACGCTAGGTTTGCACCTGAACATCCCAAACCTAAAAGCCATCCTCCGGTTGAATCTCTGCCTGATTTAAACGGACTTAGTGGTAAGTGTTCTTGGTGATCACTTGGTTTAGGTTCCAGTTACAATGTCAGGAACCCAAGCTCTGAAACATTTGCAAAACTTCAACAAAGTTACATGTACAAGGTTGGTGCAGTGTCCAGAACAGTTATAATACAACTCAGATTTATGCAAATTGAAGTTTCATCGACTAAGTACATACACATGTGTATTGTAAGAAAAGAGGCACTGGAAGAAAACTTGGGTTACAAGTATGCATTGTACAGGCAATGCTGCCGTAATATTGGTATGTCTAGTGGGTATCCTGTTTGTAGACAACTACATGTAGTCATGCATGATAGCATGCATGACACCACATACATTACAGATCAACATTAAGATACCAGAGGAAATGTGTTGTTCACTTGATACATTGACACAGGATTGTCCCAGTACCAGTCCCAGTCCCAGTCTGTGGATCCAACTCAGTGCTTGATTTTCATCTCTCTTTAGATGTTAAGAAAAAAGCTTTACCCATGTGGATAAGAGAAGGCCTTGAAAAACTGGAAAAGAAAAAGCAAAAGAAACAGGATCAAGAAGAGGAAGATGATTCAAAGAAATCCAATGTGAATTTATCAACATCTGGGTCATCTAGCATAGCTGGTTATGATCATGGAAAAGTTGACTCTCCTGTGGGAACACCAAAGAGCAATGATTCTGATGAGGTACATGTAAATCTCAGTGCTAAACTTTCATTTTCAGAAAAACTACAGTTGATATTTTAATGAAAAAGAAATGTCTTTACGGTTGCAAGACCTGACGTAGATGAATTCTTAGCTAAATGATCTGAACAGTACAGGAATAATTGATTATTGGGAATGCAAAGCTGTGTGTTGGGGTAGTGTGACTGTATCTCCTAACTGAAATCTCTACTATCATATTTAAAAGCGGAAGTAGTCAGCAGTAACATACATGTACAGTGTACATACATGTAGAGTACCACTCAGATTTACATAAGCTCCTACCTCATGGCATGCATCTAAACAAAATCAAAAAACAGCATTTATCTGTAAAGCATAAAATATCCCACTAGGAACATGTAAGTATTGTGATTATACTGTAAAGCTTCTTGGGGAACTTTTGAGAACCAATACAGTAGTTGCTGTGTTGTACTGTATGGAAAGTTCTGTTTATTATTTGCTTTCTCAAAGAGGCCATGCACATGCCAGCAGTATACAATGCTTTCTTGTGGTATACTCAGGGCACGATGAAAAGGCTGTCTGATAGCCTGGGACTAGTGAAACAATCGGTTGGGCTAGCGCTGTCTTGTCACAGGTTGCCCGACACACAAGCATGAAGTGGACATGAGTGAAACACTGTTGCTTGTTTTTTTTTTGTTTTCTTTTTTCCTAATGGCAAACTTCACATGTTGTGTTTGACACACAGTCCATGAGAGAAAGTAAAACAATCGAAATGTTTATTTCTAAGATAGAGTAAAATGTAAAATTTAANAAATAGTGAGGTTTGTGAAGTGCCTTCGCTAATGGTGCTCCAGTACCTGACTGTTCTTTCAAAATTCAGGGACCACATCTAATTGGTCACTTGACAATAAGCATGGTTAAAATTCGTCTCTGACTGGCTAATTACACAAGATGCTTGTAATAATTTATGCAGTGTTACATTATGTGGTATACATTCAGCATGTTCATCATTGAGTCATTGAATTAGAATGACAGAAATCCCTGGTAAAAGTTATACATGTAGGCTGATTGAGTTTATATATGTTGCAAGATAAGAAATGTGAGCAAAACATAATGGCAAATGATAGAGGTGTCACAGTTTTCAAGGTAAAACCATACAGACCTATTAGCTCTAGACATGTAGTGAAGCTTCGTGCTGCTGAGTGCTATAATCCGAGAAGTTTAATAAACCACTTTGTTGCTGTTACTAACGATCCTGATTTCTGTATGGGAACAACCCTGCTCTGCATTGACACCCCTTACATCCTGCTTCCCCTCGACAGCATTTTGTCCCATTTAGGTAAACTAGCATATACATGTACACCTGTTCGTGTACATGTTTGTCTACTTAAATTTCTGTCATTTCCTCTGCATCCAAGTTATCCTAAAGTTAAAGAATGTTGCAGGAATGGTTTTGAGCTGGTTTGTTATGTTTTCATTTTGAGATTAAGTGTACAGTTGTTCTCATTGATATTGTTACCTCTGCTTCGTCTGCCTACATCAGGCCAAAGTGTCCCATCTTCCCAGAGCTTTTTGCAAGCAGTTATCAACTGGAACATTTAATATTTTCCCCTGGATAAAGTAGTTTCCACCATCTAGACAAGTGACTTTCAAATTTTACTTACAGCCAGCTTACATTCATTTAAACTTAATACTAACTGTTTCTGTATGATTTCAGGTGGTGAATATCCGCAAACTGCTGACTGAAGTTCTTTTAACGGTAACTAATGAAGAGGTGAAAAAAATTGCTCAAGAGACTTATAATGAGGCACTCCGAGGTATTGATCCACTTATGCTTCTCAGTATTGCTTTGCAAGTCTCTGTAGTTATTCTATCATGACCGCATTCTGTTTTCTAAACATTTTTATAGGTCCTGCTCGACAACT